CATAACCCCCATCTCCCCCCCCCAGGACCTGGTGATGCCGGGTGAGGACACGTCCCTGCAGCTGCTGCTGCGGCAGCCGATGGTGGTGGAGGAGGGGCAGCGCTTCACCCTTCGCGACGGCTCCCGCACCATCGGCACCGGCGTCGTCACGGCGACGCTGACCCCCAGCGCCGAGGAGGAGGAGGCCGCCTGGGGCTGACCCTGTCGCGACGGAGCGTATCGCCATCACGAGGCCCCCCCCCTTATCGTGATGGCGCCGCTGCCGGGGTGGGGCTTCGGCGTGATGCGGGGACGCTGTCGTGATAGCGAGGGTGGAACGGCGCTGACTGTCGCGATGTGGGCACCGAGTATCGTGATAGCGGCACCAGATGTCACGATACCATCACCAATATCGTGATACAGGCACCAAATGTTGCAAGATGGGCACCTGGTGGTGACAGTATCGCGATATGGGTACTGAATATCGCGATAGTGGCACCAGATGTCGCTATACTGTCAGCAATGTCGTGATATGGGCACTGAATGTCGCAATATGGGGCACCCAGTGGTGACAGTATCGCGATATGGGTACTGAGTATCGTGATACCGGCACCAGATGTTGCGATACTGTCAGTGATGTCATGATACGGGCATGGAATATCGCAATATGGGCAGCCAGTGGTGACAGTATCGCGATATGGGTACTGAATATTGTGATAGCAGCACCAGATGTCACGATACTGTCAGCAATGTCGTGATACAGGCACCGAATGTCACAATATGGGGCACCCAGTGGTGATAGTATCATGATACGGGTACTGAAACGGTGACAATATCGCAATACTGGCACCAAATATCACGATACTGGCCCTGTATCATGATGGTGACACTGCCAGCAGGCACCGGCTGGGGCTCCATCACAATATGGGGGCACTGTCGTGAGAGTGAGAGCAGAACAGCGCTGACTATTGTGATATGGGTGCTGAATGCTGTGATAGTGGCACTAAATGTCATGATAGTGGCGCCAAATATCGTGGTACTGTCACCAATATTGTGATATGGGCACCGAATGTTGCAATAGTGGTGCCAAATGTTGTGATGTTGGCCCCTATCGCGACAGTGATGCTGCCTGGAGGCACCAGCTGGGGCTCCATTGCAATATGGGGACACTATCATGATAGGGTGGGACAGCGCTATCACGATATGGGCACCAATATCATGATAGTGTCACCAAGTATCGCGACATAGGCTGCAGATGCTGCGATATTGACACCAAACTGGTGACCAATGGGGGGGTGGTTGATGCGGGAACGGTTGATGGTATCACAATAAAGACACTGGAACTGTGGAAATGTCGCAATATATTGCGATAGCAACACCCAAACAGCACCCGTTATCGCAAATATCAACACCAACTATCGCGATATGAAGACCCACAGCACCAACCATCGCGATGTCGACACCAACTTTCGTGATCTCAGCACCCAAGTGGCACCAACAACTATCGCGATATTGACACCAACTATTGTGATACGAAGACCCAAACCGCCACCTATCGCGATATTGACATCAACTATCGCTATGTGAACATCCAAACCACCAACTATCATGAGATCGACACCTGAATGGATCTATCGCGACACTGACACCAACTATCACAACATCAACACCCACACGGTGCCAACTATCGCAACGTCGACCCCAACCGTCACGATATGAACCCCCAAACCACCAGCTATCGCGATATCAACAGCAACTATCGCGATATGAACACCCATTGACCCCAAAAAGTGCCGTTTTTTTCCCCCCAAAATGAGATCTGAAGGTTTTTTTATTTCTTCTTTCTTTTTATTTGCGTTTTTCGACTTTTTTTTTAATTTTTTCCTTTTTTTTCCTTTTTTTCCCCCTTTTTAATTTTTTTTT